TGACGGGACCCAGATGTGAAATGTCTAGATATTATTTATTTTATTACTCATTTATATCATGCTTGTTTCATTGTCTTTATCTCCTCTTAATTTCAAAATGATTTAAACGTGGATTAATAATATTTATACACCGCGATAAAGTATTTGAAATATTTTGTTGTTGTATTTATTTTAATTTAAATATTTTTTATTGAAAAGTACAATAGCATATAAATATTTTTTCACCTGCCGCGGCCGTATAAAAAACATTTAATTTTTTTTTCTCGTATCCGAAAATAAAGCTATGAAACATTTTATGTACATACATACATACTATTATTCTTACCTTTAGTGTTATTTTTTTTCATTTTTAATACAAAATATGTATTTTAATTCTTATTGGTGCTTAAATAATACTTAAATAAATAATATAGGTACTTTAAAAACTTAAACATGATATATTTTTGGTCGCTAGGCTGGTATAATATCGTCTACTAGTATAATAATTTACAGATTGGTATAGAACGAACGTTACGACGAAAAACATATAATTACGTCGATTGCAATGTGTGTTGTACGTGTACGCATATTATGACCTGCATAAAATTATCTTTTGAACAAACACCGTCATATAAGCGTAAGAGGGTAAGACATTAATGGGGACTTGAGACTTTTTGAAACTTTTAGACTCAATACCACCTTAATATGAATTTAACACCACACGTCATACCTTATATCTGCAGTAAGGTTAAGTTAAAAGTGTTCTTATTCATTTGCACGATCAATATATTGGCTGCATCCGAATTGCATGAAAAAAAAAAAAATGTCCAAATTCCATGGCGTCTCTTGGAGGGGTTTGTCCGAATCGCATGCCATCTCTTAGAGGGGTCTGTCTGAACTTCATTCCTTGAACCACATGTTTATTTATTATGCACTTAAACAACTTAAACTTTTTTTGGACTTTCCTAATTTGAAAAAAAATGCATGTATAGAAGCTCTATTTTATGTATGTTTGTTACAAATGATTAGTTTCTAGATATCTTTTATATCCGAGTAAATATTTTCCCAAACTGTATTTATATTGGAGTAATGTATAGTTTATTGTAGTCTATTTCACAGACATAGACATACGCGATACGCGTATCGGCCACTTAAGTGTTTGTAGCTGTCAAATGTATAAGCTTTTATAATTTATAAGTTATTATAATATTATTACCTACTACTATTATTATTGTTTTTTTAATTTATTATTATTATTATTACTATTATTATTATTACTATTATTATTATTATTATTATTATTACTATTATTATTATTATTATTATTATTATTATTGTTATTATTAATATTATTATTATTACTATTATTATTATTACTATTATTATTATTATTACTATTATTATTATTATTATTATTATTATTACTATTATTATTATTATTATTATTATTATTATTATTATTATTATTATTATTATATCGTAACGTAATTTTTCATTTTAATTAGGCCCTTGAATAATTCTAAACTATTTCCCCTTTAATATTAACCGTTTTATAAAATGCTATTACTATTTTATTATTCAAAAAAATATGTTTCCGGTATTAGTTTTATTAATATATATTTTCCATAATGACATATTTTATTATTATGAACTATTATTATATATATTGTATATTTAAATTGTAATATCTGACTGCACAAAGTTATTCCCACTCTTGGGTTATAGTAGGGAATTTTTCCACACGTTATATTTAGCTTATATACAGCTGTATTTCTGAACGATTTTATACTGTTAAAAACAAAATTACAAAAAAAAATCATCGACATTTTCTAAAAATTATGACTTGGTCACCCCCTAATCATGTCTCTGGAGCCGCCCCTGTGAACTGTGCCGGCTATATTACCTAGTACCTACTAACCTACGGTCCACTGAATACTGTACTATCTTCATTTTTAACTTTCATAAGACTCCATATCTTGTAATTTAATATTAGTTATAACTGTTATAAGTATTCTAATTGTATTGATTGATTATTCAGTTCTTATCCATTTTTCTTATTTATAATTAAATTGTTCATATTATGTTATATAGCTATGTGCTTCAAGGTGGTCGATAATTTTTTTGTTTTAAGAAAAAAAAAATAGTATAATAATGAACAATATAAACAATTTTAATAGAAACATTTTTTTTTATTTTGAAGTTTACTCAATTATTGTTTTATAATATACAATAACATATTATATCATCCTGAAATTCTTCAGTAGTAACAATTTTCACTGCACAATTACTTTTCTCACTACACAAAATGTGTCTCACTGCTCCACTAAAAAAAACCCTGAATCAACTAATACATAAAGTAGGTCTCGGGAGTCAACTCACCTACTGCTCCAATTAGTTAAAGTAGATATTTTAAGTAAGTAGGTACCTATTTAAAATTTCGATGACCAATATTTTGAGAGATACCCTTGCGTGCCACTCATAAATACGATATGATAATAATTATTGATAATGAGTGTTGTCGACCTACTCGTCGTCAATTCGAATACAATTTTTTACAATCGATCGTATTGGTAATGAGTATACATATCGTGAGGCACCGAATGGCCGGCCACTTGAGTGGACGAACTCAATCTGGTCAACAGCCAATAAATTCGTTTCAAAATGTATGATTGTATATTTGTATAATACGTATTATTAAATAAATTTTCGATCGTGTACTACGAATAGGTGCCTATTATAATATCATGTCCTATATGTATAGCTGATGAGCTAATTGCATTTAGCTGGTTAAATTTCATATCGCTCAAATGGACACGATATTATATTCGGTTATATAGACTGACCAACGTGCATAAATAAAATAATTTCTGATTGCGAACGAAAACTGCGGTTTAATACGACACTTCCTGTACACGTGTATTATAATATTAAATCGCGGCGGAATGTACGAATCCTACAAGCTCTGAAACATGTAAATAATATCAACGCAAAAAACGTCATGCGCTCTGTTCTCAGCAGTGTGTTTTGATATTTTTTTGCAAATTTTATCATTCATAATTCGAACCTCGTGTGTGCTACAACTCATAAACAAACATTGCAAAATCGTATATTTAATTATATGGCGTTGTTTACGTTGGATTAATTTGGTGATTAACTCGTCGCTGCCGCCGACTAATTCTATAATATGTCACTGATTTCGGTCGCCGAGGCCGATATAATATTGTTTACGATATTATTCTGGATATATATATATTATGTCCGTGTGTTATAAATGTAGTACATATTATGACGATCGCAGTCTGCTAATTTGCATCCACAGCACATTTTACAATCTCTTTGCATGCATCGGAGTGTCCGTTTCACTGGCCTCATTGATTTTCCAAGTCAATTTTTTTAAGTGTTTATCCAACAAAAGTACACAACGCGATAATAATTGTTCGACATAAAAATGTATGGACGGCTAATATACGGCTCCCGGTTATAAAAAAATAAATATAGGTTTGATCAATTACCTTTTAAAAATATACGAAACTAATTTGAATTTTTCGTAAAATTTAAGTGACACGAACACACACATATAGAAACGTAGGTATCTAATATTTTTCAAAAACTTCGAAAATGCAAAAATCGCCATTTTGAAAATTAATAAAGCTAGTTAAATGAATCATCTAGTATAATATTATACAGCCATAGCTGCTTCAGGGGCGTCATTTGGGGGTGGGTAGGGTGTACGACGGCATTACTAACATAATAAATAACTGTCCCTCCATTAATGCTCCTATGCGCCGATATGATTATTATTAAAAATTAATAAAATATTCTTGGCCCAGTGGCGCTGCAGTCCAAAGTTTTAACTATGACATTAGACACCTCCACATAAAATTTTGACATCCACCTATTTATTATAAATTATTTAGTTGCTTATATGATTTTGTTAAAAGCCTTCTAATAAATTCAACTGCTAGCTATTTGAGAATTACTATATAAATTAGTTGATATGAGTAATTTTTTATTAGGATTATAAAAGGGACGGAGATAATATTAACATACTTAAATACTTTAAACGGTATGGTTATTACTTATTGTTTAGATATTAATGTTAAAGTTGGCCTGCCTAAAATCTTGCACACCCGGAAAAAAACTGAAATGACGCCCCTGAGCTGGTTATATTATATTATCCATACTATATAGTATATACCATCGACAGTAAAGCTCATCAACAGAGAAAAAGCACGAACAAGTTCAAACAACAAAATTTAAGCTCATAATATAGTTTCGATGTGTGAGCGTGGTAGACGCATATATTATTTAAATTATAATCATTTATTAAATTATCTATATGTATATGATAAAGTAGTTTATTTTAACGGACTTATGCTGTACCGTTTACACTCGCGATTGTAGATAGACACTTATACCTACGGCATAGTTTGTAAAACGAGAATAAATTCTGAATCCAACACGAAATCGCTTAAAATCCTGTAATATGGTTTAGAGCCTCTGGAGACCTGAGCACAATAGGTAGGTAGTTGCCTTTTGATTGAAAATTATTATTAATATTTTTTTTTTATTTTCATTTTTTCAATATCCACTTGTAAGTACAGCGTTTCACGAAAACGAAATGTTTCTGAAAAAACAAACACATTATATACAGGGTGATTCACCAAGCACGCAGAGCCTTTAGTCCTTTAATTACGAATATTTATCCGAATTCTGATTTTTGGAATTTTTAAATTTACCCATACTCAAAGATTAAGCCTCATTTGTTTGTAACTAGGAGTGTGTGGAAATCGGTTTATTAAAACATTTTTTGGAAATTTGATGCGCTGGTTCAAAATTCAAACTAGAGTTCTCGTAATAAAATGTTTTAATACATATTGAATGTTAATAGTCCAAAAGGTTTATAAAATATAAAATACAATTAATATGGAAACACTTCTTACTCCCCCTTCGGTTTCGCCGTTCACTTTCCGTTAGTTCCTCCCCGCTCATCGACTCGGAGAGTTACACCATGTTCCGGTTCAAACACCCACTTGGGCAAGCGCACCTAGATCATCTGCACAGCCTATAGCTTTCTCTTCCGTTTCCCCTAGGCCGGGCACAGAAGGAACACGTGCCGGGGTGACCTGTCCTAATGCCGGTTTAGCTGATACAGCTTTTCCGTTACATGTCCTTCGGCGACGGTCCATCTTCAAATTCGTCCTGCTAATCCCGATAATGTTCCAGATCCTGCGTCTGCTGCATGGCATATTTTATATTTATCTCCGTCGAGCTCATCCTTCTGCTCAGTCGCGATCGTGTACAGATAATATTTTACCGATAGAGCTTATTTCGATTATGTATACATTTCATATTGTCCTATATACTTAAATCTCGAGACATTTTACAGACACGAGGCGTTGACCGTACATGAGTTAATCGTCCCAAACTGTGGTCTTTTTGGGTGAATGGTATAAATTACCTAGGTATTATTATACAATTTATTATTAGAACTAAATATTACAGTATTATTTGCAATTGAATTTTAGGGAGGCTTGGAACACTCATTTTATTGGGCGAGGGCATACCAAGATTACTAAAACTACCGTGTCGGGACACCCTGCAGTAGTGCAATATATTATCTGCTCCGTTTTCATGTAATAATATTATATTATTATATAAATTAAGAGTCATGCGTAAGCGTTTGATAATATATACTACGATAAAATATGTCCTGCTGATGCGTCCGGCCTGCTGACTGCAGGAGAATATCGTCATTATATTCACGATACAGTTCTAAATGAGTTATATTTCAACACACCGATCGAACGTATTTAATATAATATCGCGTGTTGTCACATCTAATACATGTTGCCCAGTGGCTGTATCACATAATAAATAGGTATAGTTCTGATTTTCCCGACAAAATAATATGTTTCGATATTGTATGTGAAACAACAAAATATAAGGAAAATATATGCAAAGCAGGTCGCTATAGTTACACAGTTTCGATTATACCTATCCTACAAGCTACAGTTAGTATATTGTATTGTATGACATTTAAATTGATTGACGATGAGAGTAAAAGTTTTACGTATTAATATCATGTACGACGTCGATTCATATTGTACGTATCACATGAACCTGTAAGTTGTAATCGTATAATGATCGTAGTGGAGTAGAAAATGTATTATAATTTATTGTAGGTAGGTGCTTTTATAGTGGTCGAAAATAAATAGGTAGGTAGTCTATATATTTCATATTTTTTTTAGATTTGGATCTTTTTTTTTTTCATCCCACACGATGTTTCAAAAATATCATGTTTTAAAAATGTAATCATAGCATTACAACCTTGAGTACCAGAGTACCGTAACCGTGTTCACGTGGGAAGGACTTGTATAACATTATATATATATAATGTTTATAATATGTGTATGTGTATTATAATAATGCGCTCCTCGCCGCGGTCAACATTATAATCGTTATCGTGCGGTAAGTGCCCCGGTCAGAGGCAACCCGTCGGTGCAGTAACAACAACAATAACAACAACAACAACAACGACGACGACCACGAGACCACGACGAGGACGACCACAGCGACGACCACGACTACGACGACATATTATGTTACGTTGGTCGCAGAGAGCGATGAACGCGCGTACGTCGCCGCGTAAAACCCTGCGTCGTCGTCGGCAGGGTCGCAGAGACTGTTACGCGGATCGCGGACCCTGCAGCGGTATATAGTCGGGCGAAACGATCGTCGTCCCTGCTTGGTACCAATGGACGTTTCGTGTACTGCGCCCCCGCTGCCGCGGCAGACGTCCCGTCGCGATAGCCGCCACACGTACACGGCCCGCCATAGGACTTGACCCGAGAAAGGTCCGTTTGGTCGGATCTTAATGACATAGTGCAACAGTATAGTAATAATAATAGTAATAATAATAATAATGATAATATTTGAACGTATCGTTGCAGGTCTCACAGCCCGACGCCGCCGTCGTGTCATAATATCATAATATTATATTATTATTGCTATATAAATATCTGCAGCTGTGGCTAAGCTGTGTGCGGCTTCCCCGTTGACATTCCTACTTTGGCTAATCGTTTTCGCACTATTATTGCGCCGCAGCAGCAGTGGCCGCAGGAAAACACGATTCCGTCATCCGCACTGCAAACCTATACCGTCGTCGTGGCCGGATGGGCGCAACTAGAGGAGTAATTGTGGACGGTGAAGCACCCCTAAGTCATATATTCAGAACCCAGCCTGGTCACCGTTATAAAACAATTCAAATATGTGAGAAAAAGGTGGTGTTTCTATAGTACGCGGCTTCCTGTCCTATGTATTTATACTGTTTTAGCTCAAAGCTCGAATACGTTTTTAATATTTAAAAAATACTTTCGATATACTAATAGTTAATAAGTTTGGCTGAACAGTGTTAGTTAATACAATAACAAAAACACCGGATGTTACTGATACAATGTAGTGCAACTTTTAATATTCACTGTTTGTTATACCTTTCTATAAACATAAAATTAATTGGTATTTTTTAAATATAATAATATATTGTGTCGTTTGTAAACCGTTTAACCCGAATAGAAACCGTCTTTAGATTTGTATTCATAAAAAAATTTACATTAAATATATTATATTACGGTGTGAGTGTGTGACTATGTTGATATATTTATCAGATTCGTGTGATGTTGGTTATATTATGTCGATTTTACATAAATAGTTCTTATGAGCAGTTAGAAAAAAATAAAAATATTATGTTGAATTAATTAACAAAAGCTTAATTGCAATTATAATTTTTTTTTAATAGTTTAATAAATTACTATGTACCTAAGAAATTAGGTTAGTATATGTTAACTGTAAAATATATAACCTAATTAATGTACTTCCGTGATTAAACATTTTATAGAATTAGAATACCTATAGATATTTTAACTATATAAACTATTAAAACTATTTTATACATAACATAATATATATATATATATATAACATAATATTATATATATTAAAGTTGTTCTAACTCAATGCAGCTTAATAGACCTATTACTCCATAAATTAATTTAATTTTAAATAAGACCTATCTAAAATAAGTAATTAGTTTTACTTCAATTTTTGTATGAAATATTGGAATAAAAATATATTTTTACAACGTTATATTACATAACAATCAAGCCCAAACATAGGCGTATGGGGAGGCAGGGTAGGTAGCTGCCTCCCCAGCAACTGTTAGAGGGTTTACCATCTATGTCGTTTATATTAAAATATTAAACAGTTATCTAATTTTAAATATAAAATGATACACCATGTATACCAGGTTTAGTCTATGATTTTCCCCAATAACCATTTCTGATAACTGATAAGGTTATTACATAATATTTCAGCAGGATTATAGAATATAGATATATTTTGGTGCAATTGTATTCATTATTTTATATCTTCAATCTTGTTGTCTCATAGTTTGTGTTTGAATAAAAAATATCTTAATAAAAATACGAAAAAAAATTTGATAAATAAATAGCATGAATGAGATAATGGCTGAGATTTGTTTACTTAAAGCAAATTATTCAAATAGTAAAGAAAAATAAATACATGTGATGATAGCATAAAGTGGTTGGCTGATTCTAGAAGAAATACCATATTTAAAAATATATATCAAGTTTTAAAAGAATTTGTAACTATCCCAGTTACAAGTTAATCATGGGAGATACATTATTCAAAGTTGAGTTTCATGAAAATAAGACTTAGAAGCAAAATGCTTCAAGACCGTCACCGTTTGTTAGCTTGTTAGCAATATGTATTGAACAGAAATATGACTACAATATATGAACATTGAAACTTTCAAAATATAAAACCAGTAGATAGGCGTAATTGTAAAAAGAACCTTTTAATTGACTGTTTTTATTACTTGTTATTTTTACGCTTATTCATTAATTATCAACTTGCAATAATATAAAGATTTTTCCAATTTAAATCATTGATTGAAAATAATAATTTAATTGTATTTCTTCATATTCAATTTTAATGGCCAAGTACCTACCTAATTTCGATTTGAAATAACATTATAATGGTTTGCTTTATGTACTAGCATTTATTTAACAAGAAAGTTGATATATTTTATAGTAAATAACAGGGATTTTCTAAATGTTATGAGGTTTACACAATTACATGAAAAATTACAGGTGTTTATATTGTAATACTATGAGAAGAGAGTCACAAATATTAGGTAGGTGCAGGATGTAAAAACCGGGGTAAAAACTAAAATTTCACAATTTGCCTCCCCAAGCATGACCGATGGGTGGACACGCCTATGCGTCCAAATCAAACCATTGAGGAGCCCTGGGACCAAATTCCCTCTTAAAAAAAAGTAAAAAAAGGATTCATTAATTATTCTAGTACAAACACTAAAAAAAACATACAAATACGATGTACCTACATAACAAATTTTTTTGTTAGATGTAACGGATAAGAACAGTCTGTTATAACATTGAAATTAGACTTTTATGGAATTATAAAATATACTGTCACTAATAATTCTTTATAAAAAATATTACTTCGTTTAAAATCTTCATATTGGGAAAAAGAATAGCTATTGAGAAGCTTTTCTTAAACTGTGAATTTAATTTCTATGCTTGAATCAATACTCAGTTATTTTTCTCCTATAAAAAAATCTGTGTTCGAATCCAAGGACCTAAAAAAAATATCAAGTAGTTTAGGTGAGGGGGGCGTAGAATCCCTTAATCCGGGCTTGTATGTATAACAATTTGTTAATGATAAATTATAATTTGTTATAATTAATAATAGGTACAATTGAACAAACGATTAACACTTCCAGTTCGGTATGATATTATTTATAATAATGTTCTATTATGACGACGAACGAATAATTATACCTATAAGCAGCGCAGTACATTATTTGAGTGTTAAGACTGTTGGGTTTTGTGCTTAGTGGTGCATAACAAACGGAGTGTTATACAGTGAGGGTTTTCATTTTAATTCTAAACGGTTTTTCAATACGAATATACAGCAGTATTTTGTATGTGTGTGTATACTGCAGCGTGTTATAAGCTGGCCATCAACTGGATAATCTGTAAGATTAAAATCGAGTTCGCTCTCGACTAACCTAATATTAATCCAGTAGGTATTAAACGTGTGTACGTTGTGTACATTGTGTGTCTGTGTCTGTGTGTGTGTGCCTGTGTCTATGTCTGTGTCTGTGTGTGTGTGTATGTTTAAACGCGGTAGTTGTTATGTACACACAAAGCCGACAATATACCAAACCGCAGTTATATACATACCGACTCTTTTGACCCGTGGTTTTGGCCCTATCCATTTTAATCCCACGTAACCCTAAACGCTACAAGGCGAACTTATACATACGAAATACGTATTGCGTAATATGCTAGTGGAAAAATTGCTGTCAAATTATAGTTGTATTTAAAAATAAAAAATAAATCATCAAAAAACATTTATCCGCATAGTTTAAAACACACGTCCGCATTTATTATAAATTATTTATAAATGGCCATCGTTGGAAGTCGCCATGCAGGTTTTCCGTTAATCCGTTGTGCCTAGCTATACGCAGGATATATTGATAATACTAAATATATTTTTTATATATAATATCTGTGTATTTAATATAAATAGAGTGGGCGAACGATTGTTCACCGATAATGGTTACCTCCCCCACCCCTCCACACCATTCTATTATTTGATCGTGCATTTATTTGAATTTAAATTTATAGAATTTTCAAGTAGGTATACCTACTTACTGTGAAAACACCTTACTTTAAATTACTTGGGTTATTTTACAGTATTTAATTACTGTCCTGTATCGATATGTACTAAATTTGGTTTATCAAAGTGAGAACATCCATTTTCTTTTTTTTTGCTGTGAGTCAGATGATTTTATTTAAAAATGTAAGTGTATTCTCAGTAGTAGATATTTAGTATTTACTTTATACCTACATAATATTATACCAAGCATAATAATTTTCGATCAAATAAATTATATTCCTAATAAATAATAATAATTATGACTTATGATAATAGCATTGATTATAAATACTATAGTATTTATAATCAATGATAATAGTATAAGAATATGGTATTATCGATCAGATAAGAGCTGGTCACTCGTCGTAAAAGTAAAAAAAAAATTGTAAATTTTTATCATAAAAATATTATACTGATTGTATAATTATATTTATTATTATTATATTTTAGGTTTTAATTTTTATATTTAATCGTTATTATACCTACTAGTTATTGATAAGTGATAACTCATATATTCAAATTTCGAACAGGCTCTATGTTTACTTACTAAAGAGTAATTACTAATCAATTACTTTACAATTATTGTAATAACTAATAAGTATAATAATATTCAAAAACTACTTGTATATAAAATATGAATTTCGATTTAAAAAAAAAAAATCAACTGCTAAATAATTCACAGTAACATAATAGGAAGATTCTGATTTGAAAAACAAATATTAAGTTTTTATCAACATAGTGATATATTATAGTCATTGTACCTATACTATAATAAATCTAAGTTTATGATAAATTATATGGTAGGTACCTATATCTGTTTCAGTATGACGTGCGTACTAATGAAAAATTTTTAAATTCGGAATTTGAATGAATGCATGATTTATACATATTATGACGAGCACACCCTGTACGTTTATTACGAATTTGTTTTCGAATATAATAACATTATAACGCGACGAGCTGCGTTGTTCTTACCGAGACATTTCCAAGACGTATTATACGATAGTACCTGCTCTATTTATGTATAATAATAAAAAAAAAAAGAAAAGAGTGGGACGAATCCGACGAAATCGTTCCCGTTCGTCAGTGTAATAATATGATGTGTCACACATAACGCCATTACTAAACCCCCACGTGCGTCACGTGGGAAATGCGTGTTTTGACCGCACAATTTTCCCGTCATCGCGGGGACCCGAAGCAGATCCTCAGCCACCCCGCGGTATTATTACATGCACGTCGCCGCCGATTGTTTGGAGACGTCAGAAACTCGACGCCTGTCCTCGACTATACGGCGCGCGATGTGTACATATCACACACACCGTCGAAGAAAATCTCCGGTAATGACATGTCAAAAGGTGCTGCTGTTGTTGCTGTTGTTTTCCTTTCGGTTTTGACAGCAGGGCTTGTGACCGGAATAAAACGACCGCAGACCAGAGGACAGCGCCATGTCAATATTTCCAACGTCTCTACCCACACCCGACCCCAATTCGCCGAAATTATGCGACGGGTGGTGGGTGTTCCGGTTGAATAGCTAAACACCACGTTTGTCCGCCCCGCTGATTTTGGTCGCACCGCACATAATAATTAATAACAACCCGCATATTGTAAAGCAGTAATCACGAACAGAGAGGAGATGAATAGAGGAGATGATCACATCCGTCGAGTTTCACTCGCTATACATACTAATATTATAATAACGTTATTTTGGTACGATATCGTATGGTTAGCTAAATTATTACAGAGATTTTTTTGGTTTTATTTTAAACACTAATAATTATTATAAACAATAATAATAACACAACATAATGATAATACAAGTTGTATTTATATTATACTAAATAATTTCATATTGTTGGATAGTTATAGTTAAAAAATTATACGATAAGTATTATAAGTTCTAATATAATGAGCTGATATAATAATCTATTAAATCGTTAATAATTTCGACTTCGTCGCACGCAAGCCTCTAAATTACCTATATACAGCGCCGTCTTTAAAAATAACGTTTGTAATGTTAAACTTTTTTTATGAAAATTATTTTTGTTTTGAAACATATTATTAGTACAACTATAATTTTCACCATGAAGGAATTATAAATGTCTTAAATATAGCGAGAAGTTTTAATGAATAAACAAGAAAATATCGTAAAATATTAAAAATACATATTTTTTTTTAAATATTTGGTAAACGGGAGGTTTGTGAATTTTGCCCGCAACTTGTTAAAAAATGAAGTGTAAACTCACCTCCAATTTTCCATGTTATACATTTTATGTGTATTGTCTTAACTGAATAATTTTTTTAAATAATAAATTTAATAATATTTATTATTTATATAAATTTTTTTTTATTCTTAAACAGTATTAACATGTTTAACTGCTATAAAATTATTTGTTTTTAAATAGTAAGTCATGTTTATTGTACAACAGTGGTATATAAAATATAAATAAGATTTTTGTAAATATCGTTATTGAACACTTTAGTTAGCAATAAAAGAACTTTAAATGTTAAATTATATTAAGTGGACAATTTGTATATGGGTAGTGGGTACATATATTATTATTATTAATTTATTAATTAATTAAATTTTTTTACTATTACTTATCATTAATTATTTTTTTAGAATTCGAATCTTGTATATCTCTAAGCCATAATAGTAATTAATATATTATATTGGTTGAAATTGCCCTTACTTCATGCTTGATGGAAATGTATTATAGTAATATTAATTAGGTACCATTTAAGAAAAAAGGGGGGGGGCAAGTGGGTAGCGCTCTATTGTACATTAGGTTCACCGTAATGGATGTGTTGAATCTGAATTCAATGATATGAAATTATTGTAGGTATACAAAAATAATTCTGAGCGAAGACGGTCTCTGTCAACAAATATTATAATACTTCTAAATTACAAAAATATAACTACAACCATTATTCTCCATTTAAATATTTGATTTCGTCCAAATTTATTTAACTTTAAATATCTATTAAACAAAAGATTTTTTGGGTACACTATGAAATATTAAGGAGAAAACAATTTCAATTCTTAGCTATCGAAATTGAACATTTTATAAATATTGATGAATTTTGTCAAAATTTGAAATTTAAATGCTCAATATTAAAATACATGGCTATGTATCTTCAATATTTTTGAACTGCTATTTTAAAATTTATGAGGAACCTTGGATTACATTTTCAAGCTAACAATATTATTTATCGGCAATAATTTTTAAAAAAAAAACTTTGAAAAATTGTAAATGTTTATAATTATTATATATATATTACTTATGTCTTATAATTCATAAATGTATATTTGAGAATATATTATTATGTACTTTGCGCCATTCCTTAATTTTATTAAAACCTTGTAAATATAACCAGTGACATATTATCATGTAAACTTTGGAAAACTATTATAACTCCCTCTTAATTCAAACTTTGTAAACATTCTATTAAAATATTTTATAAGTCTCTCGTAGACTTTTGCAAAACTAAAACTCGAAAAGTTTCTTGGTTAGAATAATGCTATAAGCCAACAGTTGAGCATAACTCATAATACTCCTGACCACGGCTGTGGCTGTTTGTTCATATGTTGTAATTTTTGTTAAGTCGTTTGATGGACTTCATAAACAAAATAAATGTATACTTTGAATAAATATATAGGTAGTTTATATTATAGAGTATAGACAGGCAAGACTTTTCAGCGGATGATTAAATCCTTTCCAAGAAGTAGTATTACAGTATTTACGTATATCCCACCAAAAACATGTATGTAAAATGAGAGCCAAGTTCAATACTATAATATATGCCTTGGTTGTTGACTTCAACGACAAAAGAAGTGAGATCTAAATGGGTGCCAAATTAGGATAATATATTGAAGCCTAAGGTCTGACTCAGCTAGTTTTCATATAAGAATTATTATTAAGTACCTACTAAAACGGTAATGGAAGAGTGAAGATGATTTTCCGAAGAATAAAATAAGAACTCAACGATTTAGAAATTGCGAATGCTATAATATAATTCGTAGCCAAGTCAGACCTTAGGCTTCAATATATTATCCTAATTTGGCACCCATTTAGATCTCATTTCTTTTGTCGTTGAAGTCAACAACCAAGGCATACATTATAGTATTGAACTTGGCTCTCATTTTACATATATGTTTTTGGTGGGATATCATTACTTTTTGTATTTAAATTACTATAACCTAACCTAACCTAGCCATGACGTATTCTATAAATAAAGTTTATTACTATATATACTATAATTCAGTTACTAAGATTTATAATATTTATTTTAAATATTTTCTATTGTATACAGAGTATAAAATATAAAATTAATATAAAATTATTTTATCTCTTTTTGAGTATATTTTTAATTATCATAATTTTATTTACTATAATTTCTACTGGTGGGTGGGTAATTCATAACCGTAAGATTAATTATTTAATTTTTTTAATTGTAATTTTTTTTAAATTAATATTAATTACATACATAGAGAAAAAAGAATTTTATTGCGCGCGGGCCGCCAATATCGACACATATTCCGATATTCGACTGGACGTATTTTTGGAGCGGCGATACGGGAAAGGTTAGCGGAGCTATTTAAGTCAACATTATATTACATTACATTAAATTAGAGGTACTTAATTAAATATAATAGATCAAATAATTGAAAAATTATAATAAAATGAATTGATTAAAAAATTTAAAATTTTCAAGTTTCTGATTTTTTCTTTTGTACTAACCTAACTACCTATCTGTATACCAAATTTGATCTGGAACTGGGTTAGAATTTTGATCTATGGGTATGTCAGTCAGTCAGTCAGTCAGTGATAAAAATGACGATTTTGGGACGTTAATATCTAAATAACGGTTTTAGGTGTGTTTATGAAATTTGGAGAACATATGTATCTCGTAAGTTTGAATATATGAGCCAAATTTGACATGTTTATGTAGAATATATTTTGAGTTATGAGTGGGTCAAAAGTGGCTCCAAATGGTTCTTGTAATATTACACACGGTGCTGCTCTCCATTTCTGTTAGCTAGAACTTGGCTTGACACGCTACCGCGTGTCTAGATACGTTAGTCACCAATATAATATTGCTATCTATTATATTTAATTAATTTCACAACTGAAATTATTTTTTTACAATAATAATTTGAAACGCTTTTCGTAGTAAGTATTATTTTCTTAAATACGAAGTGAAAAATGACCATACTGTTCTACAGTGCAGCCAAAGGTGTGTAGTGTGTACGTTATGATATCTAGTATTTTTTGGTTAAAGACTCAAAAATCAAAATAATAAATCAATTTTAATTTTGTTATTAAAAATCTTAGATACTTAATTAATGTAAAAATTGTATATTAGTTGAGTTATTTATTATTAATATATGTATACATTTAACATTCAAAAAGTGCTATGTCGTATGTAAGTCTAGGTGCTTAAACAGGTACGGGTAAAAGAATATAAATTACTATAAACTATAATATAGTTGATGAGTGGGCACCAGTTCGAGTCCTGAGACACTCTGTACACAATAATTCCCAAGGGTTATCCTGCAAATATTTGGAGCAAAATTGTATTACAGTAGTGGCATATTATAGAAGTGTCCGATTTAAAGATTTCGCGTATTTATAATTTATTTACAACGTTACAGTCCACATTGTAGTGGTTCCCAATTGATGGTCCACGGACCCCCGACTACCTCCACTTGTTGATGTTAGGGGGTCCAAGATTGTGTGGTAATGTAATAATTTTTTATTTTTATTTTATATTAGTGAAATTATTAAATTCGTAATCGTTTGAAATTCCGTGTATTTTTGGAATATTGAAATTCGATTTACTCTGAAAAATGTAGATAATTCATTTATTCAAATTTAAAGTAAGTATTAACAAAAGAGGGGTCCCCGAACCAATTTAAGTTTTAGCTAGAGGTCCATGGATTCATACTAATTAGGAAACACTGGTCTACAAAATATGACAATATACCACTATTCTAAAAACCAACCTGAATTCTATGTACCAGCACAAAAATAACATCATATAAGGGCATAATCACACCTTCGTCGCATGCTTAGAGCTGCAAACAACTACTCCCCGCGTCATATTTATTTGTTCAAATAATTAAATATTTTATTAATTATAAATTACCTATGTATTCCAACTTATCAAATGTTTTCACTATATTTATACATACTTCATCTCATATTTGTATTATTCTACAATACAAACACTAATCATTAATCATCATGTCAAACTGCTCTTTCACTGCTATAGACGCATAATGCATTCAGCATTGCATATAGAGAGTCTAGATAATATATTAAGACTCTCTAGACACATATATTATGTGTCCATCGTAAGCGACTCTGTGGTGCTATGGACGAGTATTATATCATCGTCCTATCATTTTAAAAATTAACAATAAATGTTTTAATTAATGTGATAACATAATTAACATATGGTAAAATATTAGAAAAATACAAAGAGACAATAAGAAAAATTAAAATCAACTAAAAAAATAATATATAATAT